TGAGTCCGACAAAGCATCTCCAACTACCTCATTGGAGACAGATTGGGCATCAGGAATCGTAGGCGCAACCTCCACATCCATATCAGGTTTCGGGACGAGGGGGTCAAAGTGTGCCTGCTGGCCCATTTCTGGAGAAAACCCATGACGGATGCGATCAAGTACCACCCAACGCACAACCACGTCCAAACTTTAGAACTAGCTCTTCATAGCCGATCTCACATAGTTCTCCCATTGATCCGAACACCCAATTGGAATCATCTTTCTTAGGATGTTCGGAGGGGAACCTAGGTGAAGTACACCCTCAACTGTGATGCCATCATCATCATCAGCTTCAAGGCAATGTAGCTTCTCCCTAGCCCTTGCAACCAACTCATTAAATAAAGGCTTCTCATTGAATAACACATGCACGCTTTGTATGTCAACAAACTCAACATATCCATAGCGATCTCTTTCCATGGTGCCTCTATGATATATGCTCACTAGGTTGTCATCTAGTAGTTCAAACAAAAATTAAAATACAGTTCGTTTAGTCTAAAGTAGCTGCTATATAGTACATCTCTAATACATACTAACGAACTACACCCTAAGTATATAAATACATTATATTAACAACATAGCTAAGTCCTACCTAAATAACTTTGTCACTAGCTATCTAACTATATTTATTTAACTATATTTATCTCACTAACTATATCAACTAGCTATCTAATAACTATATCTATGTCACTAGCTATCTAACTATATCTATCTCACTAACTAAATCAACTACATACTTCCTCAAATTTACTAGAAACTACCAAATAATCAAAGTATCACTACAATTCAAGCTAACTAAGTACCTACATTGCATATTCAAAAAATTTACCTGTCCAAGTCAATGCAACGAACAAAGCACGCGACGTTGGAGACAAACAGAGCTTTGGCTGTTGTTGCGGCCTTGCAGCAGGACACCAGCCCCTCTCCTGCGGACGAGGAGGGGCAGGCTCGTGGATGCCAGAGCAGGGGCCGGGGTCATGGCCGGGCGGAGCAGGCCAGGGATGCGACGTGGACACGGACACCGGGACCGGAGCAGGACGGGATCGACGGTGAGGTCACGGCGCGCCAGGAGCAGGGGCTGTGTCATGGCCGGGGTCACCGGAGGGAGCGCCTATGCGCGTGGCGGACGCGACAAGCTGAGACGGACGAGGCGGCCGACACGGCGGGGGTCGGTGCGGGCACGGGCCGAAAGGGGTGGCGCGCGGTGGGCGCGGGACGGCCAGGGCTCCGCACGGCGGTGGCAGCGCCCTGGCTTGGGAGACAGAGGAAGAGGTCGCGAGCGAGCGGTAAAGAGAGTGGAAGAGAGAAAGGAAGGAAGGGCCATATGTAAGACAGGGTACGGCGCCAATGATCTTGGCGTCAAGCTTGGCGGTAAGATCTACGGTGCCAAGGTGGCTGCCAAGTCACCGTCACGTCTGCGTCGACGCCTATGTCAGCCCAAGACCTAGGCACCGAGACGTGTAAGCTAATTACGATGGTGTCGAGACGAGGGTCTAGATTTTAAAAGGATACCTCCAGAAGCAGATTTGTGAAAAACTTTCAAAAAAAAGGGCTTAAAAACAAAAATTTTGGCCTCAACGGGGTGCCGAGCAGGTCGTTGGGGCCACGCGAGTCGCGGGGGCGAGAAGAGCGCGCAAGTCTGGCGACAGCGATGGCCTCATGGCCTTGCGGCTTCCACTCATTTTGGGCGGGGTGCAAACTTTCAGTTGCGACATGATTAGCTTTCAGACCATGCCGATGAGCTTGATCTTGTTGAGTTGTGATCCAAATTCAGTTATGTACAAGATAAAGGCTAACTTCTGCTGGAGCGAAGCGAGACCGAGCGAGCTGAATTCTGTTTGGGTGCTTTTAATGATTATTGCAGGAAAGAAGGCATTGTCAGGCACCACACCATCCTATACACTCCTCAACAAAATGGTGTGGCTGAGCGCATGAACCGAACCATCATCTCGAGGGCTCGCTGCATGTTGTCTAATGCTCATATGAACAGACGTTTTTGGGCTGAGGCTGCTAACACCGCCTGTTACTTGATCAGCCGGTCACCTTCTATTCCACTTAATAAGAAAACTCCCATTGAGGTATGGTCTGATATGCCTGCTGATTATTCACAGTTGAGAGTTTTCGGTTGCACTGCTTATGCTCATGTTGATAATGGAAAGCTAGAACCTAGAGCCATTAAATGTCTGTTTCTTGGTTATGGTTCTAGAGTTAAAGAATATAAGTTATGTAATCCTGAAACTAAAAAGACTTTCATGAGCAGGAGCGTTATTTTTAATAAATCTATTATGTTTAATGACAGCTTGTCCACAGATATTTCTCCAGTTGATTCTGATGAAGAGCAACAACATGTTAGCATGCAGGTGGAGCACGTAGATGATCAGAAAACTAAAATTATTGATAACAATGTTCATGATATTGTTCAGCACTCACCTCCTGTTTTGCATCCTCAAAATCAGTCTATTGCAGATCACAGAACAAAGAGGAATTGTGGACCTCGTCCACGTTTAATTGAGGAATGTGATATTGTTCATTATGCCTTTAGTTGTGCTAAACAGGTGGAGAACATTCATGAGCCGGCTACGTACACTGAAGCTGTTGTTTCTGGTGACCGCGAGAAGTGGATTTCTGCTATGCAAGAAGATATGCAGTCACTCAAAAAAAATGGCACCTGGGATGTTGTGCGCTTGCCTAAACAAACGAAGATCGTTCATTGCAAATGGATCTTCAAGAGAAATGAGGGTTTGTCTCCTAGTGAGCCTCCAAGATTTAAGGCAAGGTTAGTAGCAAAAGGCTTCAGTCAGATTCCTGGTGTTGATTATAATGATGTGTTTTCTCCAGTTGTAAAGCATAGTTCAATTCGTACATTTTTCGGTATTGTTGCTATGCGAGATCTTGAGCTTGAGCAGTTAGATGTAAAGACTGCGTTTCCACATGGAGAGCTCGAGGAGGAGATATACATGGACCAGTCAGAAGGGTTCATAGTACCTGGTAAAGAGGATCATGTTTGCAAATTAAAGAGGTCCTTATATGGTTTAAAACAGTCTCCTTGTCAATGGTATAAAAGGTTTGATTCTTTTATGATGTCACATGGTTTTAAGAGGTCTGAATTTGATAGTTGTGTGTATATTAAATTTGTTGATGAATCACCTATATACTTGATGTTATATGTTGATGATATGTTGATTGCTGCCAAGAGCAAGAAAGAAATCACTATGTTGAAGAAACTGTTGAGTAGTGAGTTTGAGATGAAGGATCTTGGTGCTGCTAAGAAAATTCTAGGTATGGAGATTATAAGAGACAGAAATTCTGGTTTGTTCTTTCTTAGTCAGCAAAGTTACATTAAGAAAGTTCTTCATCGTTTCAACATGCATTATGCAAAGTCTGTTAGTACTCCTATTGCTCCTCATTTTAAATTATCAGCTTTACAATATGCTAGTACGGATGAGAATTTTGAGTACATGTCAAGAGTTCCATATTCTAGTGTTGTTGATTCTTTGATGTATGCCATGATTTGCTTTCGTCCTGATTTATCATATGCTATGAGTTTGGTTAGTAAATACATGGCTAATCCTGATAAAGAGCATTAGAAGATTGTTTAGTGGATTTTCAGGTATCTTCGTGGCACAACAAATGCTTGTTTGAAGTTTGGCAAGACTGATAAGGGACTCATTGACTACGTGGATTCAGATTTTGCTACCGATTTGGATAAGAGGAGATCTCTCACAGGTTATGTGTTCACTATTGGTGGTTGTGCTGTGAGTTGGAGGACAATATTGTAGCCCGTTGTTACTCTGTCTACCACTGAAGCAGAATACATGGTTGCATGTAAAGAATCGGTTTGGTTGAAATGTTTGTTTACTGAGCTTTGTGGAGATGATTCTTCCATTAATTTATTTTGTGACAGTCAAAGTGCTATATGTCTCATTAAAGATCACATATTCCATGAGAGAACGAAGTGCATTGATGTCAAATACCATTATGTTCGCGATGTTGTCGCGCAAGGTAAGCTGAAGGTATGCAGGATAAGCACACATGATAATCCTGCTGATATGTTGACAAAGCCAGATCATGTTACTAAGTTTGAGCTTTGCTCAAGTTTAGGTGGTATAATTGTTTAACCCAAGAGGCTATTTGACACCGGAAGTGTTTCTTTGTTGTTTCAGGGTAAAGGTTCGTTTTATGCTACAAGAAGGAATTTGTCTCAAGGTGGAGTTTGTTGAGTTGTGATACAAGATAAATGTTAACTTCTACCGGAGCGAAGCGAGGCCTGTCGCCGAGAGGCTTGAACCGAAGCGAAGCGGATAAGGCTTTTTTTTTCTCCGGCAATTTCGCACAATGGTACTCCTTTTGGTCAGTGGCCACCAAAAAATTACTCGTCTCCTTTCATATAGGAGATGTAAATTAAAGGGCACGGGGACAGGACGAGCAGGATGAGCATGTGGTGGTCTTCACCACAGTAACAAACAGAAGCTGGACGAAGGGGAAGGGATGATCTTCAGTCGTCACAACGCTAATGGTAGAATACACGATGACTGAAATATCTGAACTCTCAGAGAAGAAGACAAGCAACCAGGTGGGGATCGTTCTGAAGTCTGAACATGGCAAGCGCAAGGTTTAGCGTCGAACGCAACACATTCAGATTGAACTCACGCGCTGAATTATGTCTATTATTAGTACAGGCAATGGAAATGGCAATTACACGTACGCCGGTACGCGTCAGTGCAAAATCTTCAGCAAGGCAATTGCAAGAACAGATCATCGGTTACATCGCATTACATTACGAACTCGATATCTGTAAAGTTTACAAGCAGAGAAGCTAGATGAACTTTGTCACCGTCTATCTTCTGATGCATACATGGTAAATCAATCTCTACAGCTAGGGAAAGCTACACTTTGATGCACAAAAATTCGCGTGCAGCTTTAACCGGAACACACGCAGCAGCCAGTTCTGCTAGCTAGCCCTGTCAACACGTCAGGTATGGAAGCTGGAGGGGATCAGATCCTTGAAGAAGGCTGCTGCATCCTGTGTACAACGTCGTCGGCGCGTAGCTGCTCCATGGTATGCTTGTTGCTGTTGTCATGCCACCGCTCCACTGGCCGTACATTGTCTCCGGGCCGAGCCCGAGCATATCGTCGACGGTGGCTTCCGCCACCACGGGCACCAACAGACCGCACGGCATCTGGATGAACTCGCCGCCATGCCCCGGCGGCGGCTCGACGATCGGCTGCTGCGGCTCACCTCGCAATAACCACTCCACGGTGAACTCTTCGTGCTCAGACTGTCGTTGCACGGCAGTCTCCGGCTCGGCGATTGGCTGCTGCAGTCCCTGCTCTGGCTCGTCTCGCAGCATGCTCTCGTCGACGTAGAAGTTTATGTCCTCGATGTTGAAGTTGAAGTCGCCGCCGTGCTCCGACTCCACGCCTTGTGGCTGATAGCAGGCGGTAGTATCCTGCTGCACCTGTTCTTGCTGCTGGATCGACTTGGCCGGCGGCGCCTCGGGGTGCTCACCGCCGCCGGCCTTCCTCTTCTTGGCCGTCTGCTTGGACGAGGACTTCTTGCTAGAGGAGGACGCCGATACCGGCGCCGACTTCCCTTTCGCGCGAGGCGAGCGGTACACCTTGCAAAGCACGTAGTTGCTGCTGTCGGCGGCGGCTTCGTCTTATTTCTTGTCGGCGGCGACGAAGTCGTATTCCACCATGCACCACCCCATCCTGTCGATCGATCGAGCGGAGGGCTCCGTCTTGCGGCCGTATGAGAAGGTGCAGAACGTGCCGCCACCGGATCCCTGGACGTCCTTGCGCCTTATCTCCGAGTGCCAGCCCGTGCCGCCGCCGCCGGTGACCGCGCGCTGCCTGTGGCCGCTGGTGTCGCCTCGGGTGTTCTTGTATTTCTTGGCGTGGTAGAAGTACCAGATCCTGCTGTAGCCGTCATCTTCGGCACCGGTGCCCGGCACCGGCTCCAGGTCGGCGACGAGAACCTCGGGAACGGCATCACAGACATCGACGTGATGGACGAAGTGGACGTGGTCTCCGGCGCGGACGCGGCGCAGGAGGGCGATGGAAGCCTTATTGTCGGTGGAGCGGCTATCGTCGTTGGAAGCCATGTCGCCGAGATGCAGCTGCTGGTGGATCGACGACGATCGACTGATCGGAGGAGGCGTGCGTGCGTGCGTGAAGGTGAAGAAAGCACGCGTTGGAGGCAGAGGTGGGAGGGAGCGGCGCTTCCGCTATATATAAAGCACACGTCGGAAGCAGAATCTTGCACGGATGGATGGATCGATTTTGGTTCCTTTGCCGCGAATTTTTTTTCGACAAAAACAAGTAATCGGGTTGTTTTCGATCCCTATTCCATCTCTGAACTGAAACCAACCGAACCCCAATCAAGGGCACTCGATCGCCTCCTGTCGTCTTCTATTTCGATTCATTTCGTGCATTCTGTTCGATCGATTTCGAATCTTTTCCCGTGATTTCCAACAAACAGTTACTCATCTCTAAGTCTGAACTGAAACCAATCGTAAGAACATAGGGCGCCCGCCTCCCGTTAGTTCTAGAATGGCGCGCCGGCCGCCATTCCGTGCCCCAAGCAAGCAAGGACGCCCGCCTCCCGTCGGTGTTGAACGTACGGAACGCCGCGCCGGGGTGCCGTCGTCATGAACACGCTCGTCGCCGGGCACTCGAGCCAGTGGTCCGAGCGCGCGCGCTTGGTGCTCGATCAGGGCGTTCCGGGCCACGCGCGCACTGGCTTGGTGAGCGCGGACTGCGTTCCTGGCCAATGCACCGGTCAGGGCGTTGCTCAAGTCAAGGCTTGCGCTGAGTTCAAAAGATGTTTGCAAACAACAGAGGAATGGATCAACATGCTTGGTTAATGATAGCCATGTCCATGTTATAGTCAGACGACGAGCTATGCACTGATTCGTGTCTGTTCTCAAAATCACTGTTAGTTAATGATAGCCTGAGATGCTTCCTTTGGACTCCCAAGCAAGAGATTCTTGCATGAACATCTATATGGTTAATTGGTTACAGGCACAGCATATGTGGTGTGGTGTGCACGAAGAACGTTCTGATAAGGCACTAGACATATTCAGAGAGCTTCGTTATACTGGAGGGAGACAGACCAATTCACCATACCAAGTGTGATGAATGCCTGTGCTGATGTGAGTGTGCCAGCAATACACTGTTATGTTAAGAAAAAATAAAGAGAACTAGAATACTAGACCCAAACACTTGGATTCTAGAAGAATGAGATTTACTCTTTGTGGCAATTCGCAGACTGAGAAATTGAGATGTACTCATGGCCTCATAGGTGTACGGGTCTTAAGACTGCAAGGAAGAAATTTGAGAGAATATTGTGTCCACATGCTTTCTCGAGGTACGGTAAATGAGTTTGCATTTCTTGTTGTTCTCGTTGCTTGCAGTTGCAGCAGGCCAGCAGCCACCGAGGACTGGTCGGTGAAGGTTAATTTTGGGGCATTCCCTTTTCCTTTTCTTCACATGAGCAGCAGCATACATACTACATTCCCTTTTCCTTTTCTTCACATAATTTTCGATGTTGCAGTATATGTTTTTTCGATGTTGCAGTACATGTTTTTCGATGTTGCAGTGAATGTTTTTCGATGTGCACTACATATTTTTACGATGTTGCAGTATTTACAACCTAATGTTGCACTGCATAGTTTTTCTATATGTTTTGTAATGTTGCAGTTGAAGTGTTTCATGCTCTTTTGGGACATGGGCGCGGTGGGGGAACGAGGTGCCTTGGAGAAGGGGGGACAGGAGCGCGGTGGGGAGCGGAGGACATTGGTTCCGTTCTATTTCGTTCCGTGCGCGGGGGGCAGGCGGGGTTCCGTAAGGGATCGGCGTCCGGACGCACTCGCGCGCCGGACGTCCGGGCGCTAGAATCACCGTTTTTTTACAGATAGTCCTGTATTCTTTATTTACTCTCTAATGTATTTATTTACTCAGCAATTCTCTTGTTGAGTTTTCGGAGGAAAAAAAAAGTTACTACTAACGTCTCATTCCATTCCTTCACGTGGCGTAAGGTCTATGCGTGCGCAGCGTAATGCCATCATCTCGAATTCTCCTCATGTCTCCACTGCTTGTCTTCTCCTGAATTGTTTTTGAAAAATTGTCTTCTCCTGAATGTGCGTGTGTGTGTGTTTTGAGAAGCCGGTTCCTGTGCTGAGTGGTCGGTGATTCACGGCTTGCTACCAAAATCAGGGCTGGTTCCTGTGCCAAGATTTGGGGCGCGCTTGGCTCGCTCTGCAGCTCGCCCTTGGGCTTGTGTCGCGCAACTTTGTGTGTTCAACTGATGGCATACTGCAATGACTGCTTAGACGTTCTATATGTACTATCTGTAAAAAGCGCTTGGAATTCTCCGTGTATGTCATAATCTTGCAGGAGTAAATTAGTGCATGGTATGATATCTTTAATCTCAGTCATTTTGTTGTCCTTCTGAAACATTCAGAAAAAATCAGATTGCTGCATTTGCCATCCGTGCTCAGTGGTAGCTTGCTATTATCAGGTTGCAGTTTAAATAGACCTTTCTATTCTGCTTCAGGCATAACGGGGATTGATTATCTGATTGTTTGTGCTGATGAAGGATTCTCTTCATGCTTCATTGCTTTGTCACCATTGCACCTGGACTTTAGCATGATTCTTCACTGAAGATGCATTGATTATCTTCTGCTGTCTTTTGTTTAATGCTTTTGTTGGATTACTGGGTCCTATGATGACATGAAATCTTTGAGACCTGATTATTTCTCGTGATGACAACCATAAGCATATCTTCTGAGGACCGCATGAAGTTCCAATTTGAGTTTTCAGTTTCTTTTTCCCATTTATATATTGAACTTGTTTATAAAGTCGTTTGAACAACTACCCTAAATTTAAATTGGTTTATTAGTTGCTGCAATGATTACTTATCTTTTGCCTCCTATCCATCAAATGTTGTTTCAACCTGTGCAACTCGTTTGGTGTTATATAGGTGAACGTTCCTATGACCAAGAAGACCTACTGCAAGAACAAGGAGTGCAGGAAGCACACTCTCCAAAAGGTTACTCAGTACAAGAAGGGTAAGGATAGCCTGTCTGCTCAGGGAAAGCGCCGTTATGACCGCAAGCAGTCAGGATATGGTGGTCAGACCAAGCCCGTCTTCCACAAGAAGGTAATACAAGTTTCAAACATATATTTGTCGATGACCTGATTGATCTGTCGGTGCTTTATACCATTTTCCTTTTTATGCCAACATGAATGTTTGAAGATAATTGTGAATTCTAAATGCCTGTTGCGTACGCAGCTTGGTTTATGACAAATGTTGTGATTTTCAGGCCAAGACCACCAAGAAGATTGTGCTGAAGCTGCAGTGCCAGAGCTGCAAGCACTACTCGCAGCACCCGATCAAGGCACTGTCTCATTTCTCTTGGGCTGAACATGTTGTTGAACCAAGTATTTCTGTCTGTGTTTGCTCACTCTTTTCTGCTTTCTTTGTCACAGAGATGCAAGCATTTTGAGATTGGTGGAGACAAGAAGGGCAAGGGAACGTCTCTTTTCTAAATCTGCTCATAGCCTATTTGGATGCTGAAGTTGTGGGTTTTATACTGTTCCTAAAACTTGTCGTCAAAATTTAATGTTACTAGTACTTAAAGCAGACCATGCTATGTAACCAAATTCCAACACCTAACAGTTGCTTTGAGTATTGTGTCGAGTTTTGACTAAATGAAGTTTTGTAGTTTGAATCTTCATTGAATATGTTCTGTTTGATTTTGTGCTTGTCATTCCAATGTGTGTTATTTGAGTCTAAAGCTTGAAAATTTTTACAGCAAAAATGGTTACAGGTAAAATGTTATTGCGTGGCTGAATGTGAACTGAGTCAAAGACTGTGCAGTTCTGTGTAATGTTTCTGAATAGAAACACTGCCACACGCCATGTGATAGTGTGACGACAGATTTGCTTTGTTTGTGTACATTTGGATCATGGCCAAACATTGTGCTTAACCTGGTTCGTGCGCAAATCTGTGGCAGTGCTTGTCATGTTTACATCTGTGGCAGTGCTTGTCATGTTTACTCCTAGAGCGTGCGAGGCGTTTGCATTGCTGAAAATTACAATGTCAGATAAAAAAAAGGACCAGAATTCTTCAGGTGAAACAAGAGCCGGAATTCAGATGTAAGGAAATTCATCGATCTTGTTCAGATCCTTCCATGGGGTATGATCATATGCAACAACAGGAATCAGATATGCTGGCTACGATCAGAGATCTATGCACTGCAATTCCATGGCTAGACACTAAAGGCTGGGCCCAATTTCGAACCTAGCCCTGCAGTGAAGTATGGGTGGGCCCAGATTTGATGCGGCGAAGCCCAAAAGGCCCGTCGCGGGGGCAAACCGTACGCCTAGGGCACAGCATGGCAAAGGGCACATGTATCAATTTATATCTTTTTTTTTTATAAAACTTTCTCTAATTATAACTGCATCTTAACATAAACCAAGGGTGCTTCCGGCTTAATGGTGCTAATCCTAGAAATGAGTGTCCGTGGGTTCTAGTTTGTTGTTTGTTTTTGTCTCAGTAAATGACGTAGTGGATCGCTGTCAATGCCCTAAGGGTATGTAATGAGTTGAACTGAGATGTAGCTCTTTGAGACGATACTCCTGGTGCGCTTGCAGTAGATAGGCTAGTCGCTTGAATAAGGTAGATTAGTCCTAATCTAGGGGTCTGTTTTGATACCAGAACTAGCTAATTGCTAGTAAGCTTACAAAATTAACTCTAATGCATCCGAACATGAGAGCTAATAGGTGGGTTATTTTTTTGGCCAAATCTTCAACTAGTTGTTAGCTAACTAGCTAGCCAACCATAGCTAGTTTGAGCTAATTATTAGTCCTAACTAGTAACTAGGCATGTGTATCAAACATGCCCTAAGTGTAGTAGCTTTTTCCCTCCTTTCTATTGCTATGTGGCAAACTCCGTTTATGTAATGGGAATGGGGGCCTCCTCGCTTCAAAAATTGTATGTTAGCATATTTTACATGGAAGATTGTGCAAAAATTGTATCTTAACATATTTTAAAGCGAGTAGTTACCCTTCGGTGCACAAGATGCACTGTTTTTTATCTCACAATTCTAGAATATCTCAACTTTTGCCAAACAAGATTGCTGACAATATTTTCTTCCCAAGTTTGTAAAAACTTATTTTTAACCTAATTTTAGTTCATCAGCAAGCTTGCTATAGAATTTGGTGCACTTCATCTTGTATGTTCATTTCTGAACGTGGAACATGAAACTATGAAAGTGTCATCAGGTTATGTTAGATGCCAAATCTCCCGCATTACCAATTGTTGTTGTCACTGGTATATTTGTAAGCAGAAGTTGATTTTAGATTCTGTTTATACCAATGCTACCTTGTCAATTGAACAATTGCTTTATGTAAGAAATGTTGCCAGCTTTGTGCCTACGGACCAGTCTGATTGGTTAACGAAGAGTTGTTCAAAATTAAAGCCAACAAATAGAATATTTTTAGTAATTATTACTCGAGATGAGAGGAGAAGATTGATGAAGATATTCTTCATCTACGCATACAAATCGTGGTGGTGATGGTGGTGTATGTGGGTGTGGGGGCTTTTGGGGGTTCCATTGGTCATGAGGGGGTAGGGGGACTTGAGCTCCCCTAGGCCCCCATGCTAGATCTGTCCTTGCCTAGCAACAATGAGGATAATTAACAGAGCCGCGTCAAGAACAACAAAGACCATTTCAGCAGGAACAACCATGACTATAGTCATAAGTCATTGTCGATGTTGCCAACGAGGAAAAGGTGGAGAAATGACAGTTGAAAAGGGTCGTCGCCCACCGAAGTAGCGCTGATGAGATGATTGTCGAAAGCGCTAGTAAGAAAGTTTTTGGAAGCACAGTCATCCAATGAGGAACTGTTGGTGATGGGGGGTGCTAAAAGCGCCATCCTAGTAGTGAATTATCAATATAATATGAGGAATTCACATTGTGAGAAAAGAACACTAAATCAGCTTTGCGGCTAGAAGATGCCCACTGATCGGAATGGCGTTCTCAGTGACTTCCTCTACGATCTCTGTTGATGGCTGCCACCGTCACGATTGATCATCGTCGCCTCCATGGAGCTTCCTGGCCTGAACTTCCGGCCGGGCAGAGTTGTGGAAGCCGAAGTCCGTCGGAAGTTTGGATCCCCGGTTTGTCTTGACCCGTCTTCTCCCTCCCCTGGGTTCCATCTTGTGCTCTCTTTTGGTCGTTGCAAATTTCGTCTGTCAGAGGAAAATGCAGCTATCATCCTTCAATCTGTCATTGGTGGTTATGCTTGTGCTTTTCGCTTATACACTCTGAGTGATCGTGTGTTTCGTTTCTCGGTGAGCTCGACGGCGGTGGGTTTTCACATTTATAAGCTTCGAGCTTTTGGATGTTCTCAGTTTAAGCTCTTCTTCAACCTTTGGCATAATGGTGGTTTGAACCATCTCGCTGAATTTCGACGCTGGCAAGCTGAGCAAGCTGCCCAATGGACCACTGTCTCTCGTTGACCTGCCCCGCCGGAGGCTGCGCCGCCGTTGATCGGTGCCAACAGCATCCTGGTAAACGGTCGGGGCGTACTTCGAACACAACTTTCAAATTCGGTCCCCAATCAGGGCGGTAATTTGGGTCGTCAATCGGTGTTCACTCGCATTTAGTTTGGCGCGAGATCTTCGGAGGCCCAGCATCACTTTTCTTTTAATAGTGCCCTGCCTGGCATTTTGGGCAAATGTCCTGTGCCTCCTGGACCAGCTTCGTTGCCATCTGGGCTTATTCAATTTTGTACACGTTGCTTAGCATATGGCCACGCTTTGGCCCATTGCCGCAATCGGCCCAGATACCAGGCCTGCTATCGTCATGGACATGTTTCTAGCAATTGCAATTCCACGCCTAGATTGGCGTGCCCTTCCCCTGTTTCCTCTGTTGCCAATCCTGACCCTTCCGCTTCTCTGCCTCTGGCTGCTGGGACCGTTTTTCAGCCACCGTGATTTACTTTCTTTGGTGAATTGTTTAAGCATTTCACTGGCATTACTCCACCGCCACCTATCACTATTCCCTAGAGCTGCACTTGGAGCATTTCAGCACCAGAGTTTCTTGACGACAACGAGGGCAATCAGCCCTCTGCATTGTTTGTCTCCGTACCTTCGGATTCTCATCTTCCTCGCCATTTCGCCTCCTTCGGTGAGTTCGCTTCCTCGGTGCTCGGCATTACTCCGGCTAAGTCTATATTTCACATTCTTTGGGAAGAGAAAACCTTGATTGCTACAGTGCTTTCTTCCCCTTCCCAGCAATCCATGGCGTTTCGCTTGGTGGACCCGGAGCCTTTCATGCCCTTGGGAGCTCAGAGGACGGTTGTTCATGGCAGACCTGTTATGCGTCATGTTGTCATTGGCCACGTCCTGCAGAGGAACAACGACCTAGCCATCGCCTACCTGCAGCCGATGCCCCAAGGTCCAATCAACTTCATGGCCATCCACAACATCATTGTGGATTTCTTGCGTGACAGAGGTATCGGCTTCAACTCCATGCAGCCCTACCCCTTTGGTCAGGCATATGTGCGCTTCAATTACATCTTTGAACGGGACTTGCTCATTGGTATGGGGCCTATTCAGTATGGAAATGGTTCTATCTCCTTTGTGGCTCATAATCAGGCTTGGAATAATCGTATTGCAATCATGTCCCATGAGGTTTGGATTATGCTGTGGGCTCAACCTTGGTCTTTGGATGCAACCCCTTCTTGATAAAGCGGTTTCTTCTTTTGGTCGACTGCTCATTTGGGAAGAAGATCTTTTCTATCAGTCCAAGGCTGTTGTTAAGGTCAGGGTGTCAAGCCTCGAGGACATACCTTGGTTTTTTGTGTTCACTGAAGGGCTTAACTTTGAGTCTCCAAGTTGGAGTGTGTAGTGTGAGATCTTGCAGGCAAGGATGCTAGGAGGAGCACCTGAAGATGAACAGTTCCCCCCGGATGATGATGACTTTGACCCTTTTGCTTTTCATTTCCATGGTTTTGGTCAGATGGGACAGGGTCCACCACCATCACCTGAGGCCAATGTTCCTCCCATGCCAAATCCGGATCATCTTGCAGCAATGGGATGGGGTGTTTGGCCACAACCTGCTGAGCAACCCCCTGAGGAGAACATCCCTGTTCTAATCCCCCTGAATGCCAACAATGACAATCCTACCCCTGTACAGGCTGCTGAAGCTGCTGTTGCTGAACCTGTGGAAGAGATCATCAAAGCTCTGGGCTTTTAGGTTGAATTGCCACCTCAACAGGATGTTGGTCATGTTTTGGCCATGGATGACCTCACTGATCAGTCTGAAGAAGAGCCAGTGATGCCCCCTCTAATGGATGACCTTGCAGAGGTTGAAATGGCAACTTTTCCAAATATGTAGAATCTACAACCCCTGATGGTTGAAGAGGTGCAACTGGAGGTTTGGTGGAGTTTGATGCTTTGGCGCCAAATGAGCCTCTGCCTGTTGATCCACCAATT